GTTATAACAGCTTTTAAACGTGAAGCATAGCTTGACACAAGTGTCTTGCAGCGATCTACGGGTATCTTCGCCCATTCTTCTTCATGGGCAAAGGCCTCCAGTTCAGTCACATTCTTAGGCTTGCGCAAAACTGCTTTCTTTAAGTCCCACCAGAGGTTCTCAATCGGATTTAAGTCTGGTGACTGCGATGGCCACTCCAAAATGTTCCAGCCTTTCCTCTGCAACCATGCTCTAGTGGACTTGGAGGTATGCTTGGGATCATTGTCCTGTTGAAAGGTCCAACGTCTCCCAAGCCTCAGGTGTGTGACGGACTGCATCACCCCATCCAATATCTCCTGGTACTGAAGAGAATCCGTGGTACCTTGCACACGCTGAAGCTTCCCCTGTACCTGCAGAAGCAAAACAGCCCCAAAGCATGATTGACCCTCCACCATGCTTCACAGTAGGCAAGGTGTTCTTTTCATCATAGGCCTTGTTCTTCCTCCTCCAAAATAGCGTTGATCCATGGGCCCAAACAGTTCTAATTTTGTTTCATCAGTCCACAGAACACTATCCCACAACTTTTGTGGTTTGTCCACATGGCTTTGGCATACTGCAGTCGACTCTTCTTATTCTTTGGAGACAGCAAGGGGGGTACGCCTGGGAGTTCTGGCACGGAGGCCTTCATTACGCAGTGTGCGTCTTATTGTCTGGGCTGAAACTTCTGTACCCACATCTGACAAGATCTTTTCTCAGTTCCTCAGCAGTCACACGGGGACTTCTCTCCACTCTACGCTTCAGGTAGCGCACAGCAGTCGAAGTCAGCATCTTCTTTCTGCCACGCCCACCAGGTAGCGTTTCAACAGTGCCCTTTGCCTTGAATTTGCGAATGATGCTTCCTAAGGTGTCTCTTGGTATGTTTAACATCCTTTGCAATCTTCTTATAGCCATTGCCCTTCCTGTGAAGAGAAATCACCTCTTCTCTTGTCTTCCTGGACCATTCTCTTGCCTTCACCATGTTTGTAACCACACCAGTAAATGTCTAGAAGGAGCTGAGTATCACAGTCATTTTAAAGCTGCCTAATTGGTGCTTATTATGCTTGATTGCTGCTCGGTGACATCCACAGGTGTTTTCAATACCTGATGGAAAGCACCTGTATGAACCTCTGTTCTTCAGAGTGTAGTCTTTAAGGGGTTGAATAATTGTGGCAATGAAGAAACCACATAAGAACCATTTACTACTGTATTACATAAACAATTGATGTCATTTTAGTTGCATTTGGGTAGTTACAACGTCCTTGTAGGATTTGATTCTGAATACAATTCCAAATGTACACTATAGTCCCTAAACCCCTTTACAGCATTGGGGGTTGAATAATTTTGGCCACAACTGTACATACAGACACTTGTACATACACACAAACACACACACACACACACACATGTACACACATACAGACACATGTACACACATACACACATGTACACACACACATACATGTACATACACGCAGACACATGTACAGACACACACATGTACATACACACAGATACATGTACATACACACAGACACACACACATACAAATACACACACATGCACTCACACACAGCCCTATAAAAATTTGCAGTATATCGTTACCTTCACTCACAGAGCCGGGAACTGCACTCTAGGGGGAGGCAGAGAGCACAGCACACACTCCTTCCTTTGCTTTCATTTTGCTCAACTATTGAGCAGACTGACGGCTCCCAGTGCGAGTGACAGATCCGGCACTGAGTTCCAAGCCTGCTCAGCAAGACAGCCCTGGGGACACTTGCCCCCACCATAATTTCCACTCGCCAATGCGAGCAGGCAAGTGGAAGTTTCAAGCCCTGTTCTAAGGTGTTATTATTTTGTTAATATTTGTCATTGTTTGTGAAAAGGAGGTACAGTTTATCATCCTTCAAAAATGTTGTATCAAACTGGACAAGCCTTATCATATGAGTAATAGTAATGCACGCAAACAAACTGAAATCAATTATTAAAATAATGGTGTGAATTTCCAGCTCCTTGTTTAACCCTGTGGGAGTCAGGGTATTGAGGGTGAATATCCAACTTGTCTCCCTGTGGCATAATTTTTCAAACCTCTCGGTAAAGGATCCACCTTTTGGTATGGTCTCCACTACCCACATTTTAAGTCCCTAAAATGGCTTGGCATTCTATAGTCTATGCCACCCTGCTCAATTAGCCCCCGATGCTCACCAAATCTCTTGCATACAGTTTTAAATAGTACGTCCTATGTCAAGGAAGACGTATAGGCAGGTGAGGCACTGGAGGAACTATTGTAGAATTAATTATTAATCTGGTGGGCTTGTTCTTTACTGGCAGGAAAGGATTTTTTGGTTGTAGAAATGAACATATCCAACATAATCTTTTTTTTTTTACACTGGTACAATCCTCTCAAATTCCAAAAGAAATTGAGGGTGTTGTCTTTGGGCTTTTAATTAATGTTGTTCCATATCTTATTAGGTACTATCCTACTTCTGATGCTTGGAGCCTACTGATACTGAAGTCTGAAGAAGGAGCCTATTGAGCATGCTCCGAAATGCATTACCGCCCCCTTCACCTCCTACATCCGACTCTGCTCTCCTAGCTTCATTTTGATGCACAGGCACATCCTGGACTCTACTTCCTGATCCTATAGACAGAGTTTGCTGCTGGACTGCTGGATGTCCCACCTGGATCTAATTACCACACGATGAGTCTTTTTAACTATTTATCTTGTAAGTGCAATGTATCCATTGTTTACTAAATAAATTGTCAATACTGCACTTAGAGGTGCCTTCCTCTCTTTTTTTTCTTGTATCTGAGGTGATGTCTACACTAGTGGATTCTTCTGGAATTTCTATTTCTGCTACCTCTTGAAAAACATTCTGGGTAGACCTAATATATTTTATTGATTCTGTTTCATAAGGATTACTAGTGGAGGTGGATGCACTCTCACAGATTGTGTTCCAAATCCAACCTTAGTGTTGGATGTTTTATCATTACTATTTTCTTTGTTTGTTTCAGTATTTGTGATGTAGGTTTAATTTTGTAATGGATGTGTCATTATTACTCTTTTTTCTAGATGCTTCAGCTTTTTGAGCGGTGGAGTTGATGCATTGTGACTTATTAGATCGTGTCAGTTGTAAGTTTGGACTGTCTCATATGTCCTACAGTATGTTAAAATTAGTCTTGGGGTTCAGATCCGTAAGGGCTGGTGTTGTCTGTGTATAGCGTTCTCTTGCTAGCGCATGTCAATACCTGGCCTCTCTTATAATCCACTATGTCTCATTCAAGTTTATTAGTTTTGGTACTGACTAAAATCATCCTCACACTGTTTGGTTTTATGATTGAGGACTGTCATCCAATGGGGATATAAATCTGAGGATTGATATTCCTCAAGGTCTCTCATTATAGCTAGCACCAACTCATGGTAGATGCCAATCTTCCTCTCCCCCCTTTGGGAGAAGATGAGCTTCATCTATTTTGTGGTGCAGAACTCTCATACTTGACACCATTCCTTATTCAGATCATCATAAAAAAAAAAAATCACACTGTTAAAGGACTCCAAGTGCCTGGGGTGTTTTATTCAGTTCTAGATATTTTGTTTAGGAATGCTATATCCTACCATTGAACATTCTCCATATTATTTGTATCTTCTATTCTGACAAATAATCTGAGCATATTCTGTTCAAAAGTTCTACTGTGTGGGGGATTTGTAATTGAAGTAGTGACTTGAGTATTTGGAGGTGAATCCATGCATATGCTACCAATTAAATCATGAAAAAAAAATTTATATCCAATCTGACACTCCCTTTGAAGCTGATTTCAGTCAAAAGATCCATATTATGTGTAAGAACCAGCAAATGATCAATGAATAAAATAGCTAGTGCACAAGTGAAACTGACAGTACCCTATATTGAAAAACCGCAATCAAAAACAGTAAAAAGCACACAAGTACAAAAGCTACCAGTCCATGTAGCTTGAAGTAAATATCTTTGTTCAGCAAAGATAATAATCCTTCATTAGGCTATTGAGTGATTTCTGCCAGCTTCTCCATGGATTAGGGCTAGAGATGAGCGAATTATTCAAAAATTCGATTCGGCTGATTCGCCGAATTCGCGGAATAAATTCGATTCGAGGCGAATATATTTGCTGCGAATTTAACGTGTAAAAAGGGTGTTTCTAGGCTTCAGAGAGCCTTTATATTAGTGCAGAACACTGTACCTTTAATTTAAATGCCCTTGGAGTCTGCTGGGGAAGAGAAATAATACTGTCAGTCAGTATGACATGCAGATGAGTGCCGTCGATCTTAGAATCACCGCACACTTCACTCATTTGGGCAGTCACGGGGCCAAAACCAGAGTGTGGAGCCACAGTGTGGCGGTGGAGGCAGCAGCAAATGGGAGGCCATACAGCACCCTATGACAAAATGGAACCCACCAGCTGTGTGAGGAGACCTGAAAGTGGCACATGGCAGAGTGTGGCGATGGAGACAGCAGCAATGGGAGGCCGTACAGGGACCCATGACACACTCTGGACCTGGCAGCAGCATGAGGAGGCGGTACAGGGGCCCATGACAGATTACGGGCCTGGCAGCAGCATGAGGAGTCGGTACGGGGGCCCATGGCAGATTACGGGCCTGGCAGCAGCAATGGGAGGCCATACAGCACCCTATGACAAAATGGAACCCACCAGCAGTGTGAGGAGACCTGAAAGTGGCACATGGCAGAGTGTGGCGATGGAGACAGCAGCAATGGGAGGCCGTACAGGGACCCATGACACACTCTGGACCTGGCAGCAGCATGAGGAGGCGGTACAGGGGCCCATGACAGATTACGGGCCTGGCAGCAGCATGAGGAGTCGGTACGGGGGCCCATGGCAGATTACGGGCCTGGCAGCAGCAATGGGAGGCCATACAGCACCCTATGACAAAATGGAACCCACCAGCAGTGTGAGGAGACCTGAAAGTGGCACATGGCAGAGTGTGGCGATGGAGACAGCAGCAATGGGAGGCCGTACAGGGACCCATGACACACTCTGGACCTGGCAGCAGCATGAGGAGGCGGTACAGGGGCCCATGACAGATTACGGGCCTGGCAGCAGCATGAGGAGTCGGTACGGGGCCCATGGCAGATTACGGGCCTGGCAGCAGCAATGGGAGGCCATACAGCACCCTATGACAAAATGGAACCCACCAGCAGTGTGAGGAGACCTGAAAGTGGCACATGGCAGAGTGTGGCGATGGAGACAGCAGCAAATGGGAGGCCGTACAGGGACCCATGACACACTCTGGACCTGGCAGCAGCATGAGGAGGCGGTACAGGGGCCCATGACAGATTACGGGCCTGGCAGCAGCATGAGGAGTCGGTACGGGGCCCATGGCAGATTACGGGCCTGGCAGCAGCAATGGGAGGCCATACAGCACCCTATGACAAAATGGAACCCACCAGCAGTGTGAGGAGACCTGAAAGTGGCACATGGCAGAGTGTGGCGATGGAGACAGCAGCAATGGGAGGCCGTACAGGGACCCATGACACACTCTGGACCTGGCAGCAGCATGAGGAGGCGGTACAGGGGCCCATGACAGATTACGGGCCTGGCAGCAGCATGAGGAGTCGGTACGGGGGCCCATGGCAGATTACGGGCCTGGCAGCAGCAATGGGAGGCCATACAGCACCCTATGACAAAATGGAACCCACCAGCAGTGTGAGGAGACCTGAAAGTGGCACATGGCAGAGTGTGGCGATGGAGACAGCAGCAATGGGAGGCCGTACAGGGACCCATGACACACTCTGGACCTGGCAGCAGCATGAGGAGACGGTACAGGGGCCCATGACAGATTACGGCCTGGCAGCAGCATGAGGAGTCGGTACGGGGGCCATGGCAGATTACGGGCCTGGCAGCAGCAATGGGAGGCCATACAGCACCCTATGACAAAATGGAACCCACCAGCAGTGTGAGGAGACCTGAAAGTGGCACATGGCAGAGTGTGGCGATGGAGACAGCAGCAGCAATGGGAGGCCGTACAGGGACCCATGACACACTCTGGACCTGGCAGCAGCATGAGGAGGCGGTACAGGGGCCCATGACAGATTACGGGCCTGGCAGCAGCATGAGGAGTCGGTACGGGGGCCCATGGCAGATTACGGGCCTGGCAGCAGCAATGGGAGGCCATACAGCACCCTATGACAAAATGGAACCCACCAGCAGTGTGAGGAGACCTGAAAGTGGCACATGGCAGAGTGTGGCGATGGAGACAGCAGCAATGGGAGGCCGTACAGGGACCCATGACACACTCTGGACCTGGCAGCAGCATGAGGAGACGGTACAGGGGCCCATGACAGATTACAGGCCTGGCAGCAGCATGAGGAGTCGGTACGGGGGCCCATGGCAGATTACGGGCCTGGCAGCAGCAATGGGAGGCCATAAAGGTCAGCAGCCCCTATGACAAAATGGAACCCACCAGCAGTGTGAGGAGACCTGAAAGTGGCACATGGCAGAGTGTGGCGATGGAGACAGCAGCAATGGGAGGGCCGTACAGGGACCCATGACACACTCTGGACCTGGCAGCAGCATGAGGAGGCGGTACAGGGGCCCATGACAGATTACGGGCCTGGCAGCAGCATGAGGATCGGTACGGGGGCCCATGGCAGATTACGGGCCTGGCAGCAGCAATGGGAGGCCAATACAGCACCCTATGACAAAATGGAACCCACCAGCAGTGTGAGGAGACCTGAAAGTGGCACATGGCAGAGTGTGGCGATGGAGACAGCAGCAATGGGAGGCCGTACAGGGACCCATGACACACTCTGGACCTGGCAGCAGCATGAGGAGGGAGGCCGTACAGGGGCCCATGGCAGAGTGGCGAAGCGTAAGCAGCTTAAATTGAAGGCCATACAGAGGCCTATGTTAAAAATAATAACATGTTTGGGGCATGATTCATGGCGGATTTAGTCAGTTGTGTCAGGAACTGGTGGTTTGAAATCCAGACTAATCCACGCCTGATTCATTTTCACAAACGTGAGTCTCTCCACACTTTGGGTGGACAGTCGTGTCCTCCGCGGAGTTACAATACCTCCTGCCGCACTAAACACGCGCTCCGATGCCACGCTACTGGCCGGGCATGACAGCCTTTCAAGGGCAAATTCAGCTAGTTGGGGCCAAAGGTCAAGTTTCGTTGCCCAGTAGTCAAGGGGATTGTCTACCTCGGTTGGCAGGGTGCTGTCCAAGTAGGCCCGAGCCTGTTGTTTGAGGTCCTGCTCCAGGTCCACCTGATGCTGCTGCTGCTGCGGCTGGTTAGTAGTTTCCTCACTGCGCTGGTGAAGAAAGCTACTCATCATCGACTGCAGACTGAGGCAGCCGCTGCTGGTGGAGCTGCCACTGCTCCTACCACCCCACCCCTCCCCTGCTGCCATGGCAGCGGAACGCGAGTGCACAGGGCCCACAGTGTCTGAGGATGGACGTTGGCACAGAAAGGCAGAGACCAACTGACTACATAGGTGGTTTTTATAGTACTTTATTTTGGCCTCCCTCTCAGCAGGTGTGAAAAAGGCCACCATTTTTGAACGGTAGCGAGGGTCCAACAAGGTGGACAGCCAAAAGTCATCCCTCTGTCTGATGGTTATTATTCGGCTGTCGCTACGCAAGCAACCGAGCATGCTATGGGCCATTTGTGCCAAGGAATGCAAGGGACTCCCTGCCTCCATCTCCACAGCATACTGCCACGGTGCGTCTGGGTCCTCTGTCTCCTCCTCCTCTACCAGATGCTCCTGCTCCTCCACTCCTGTCCGCTGAGTGGAAAAACCACCCATTTCACTCAATAATTCCTGAGTACCAATGTCCTCCTCTACCTCCTCCTCTTCTTCCTGTCCTGCCCCCACAGGGGTCATGTGGCATTGAGATCTGTGCGCCACGTCTACCGCACCCTGACCAGCCATTGTTAACAGCATTTGTTCCAGGACGTGCAACAGAGGAATGACGTAGTTCATCCCATAGTCCTGCCGACTCACGAATAGCGTGGCCTCCTCAAAGGGCCTGAGCAAGCGGCAGGTGTCACGCATGAGCTGCCAATGGCTGACATCTAAGTTACACAGGGGAGTACCTTTATCCGCTTGTAACATCAGGAAATCGGTGATGGCCTTTCGCTGTTCGTAAAGGCGGTCTAACATATGTAGAGTTGAATTCCACCTTGTTGCAACGTCGCAGATCAGGCGATGCTGTGGAATTCCGTTCTGCCGCTGCAGCTCAAGGAGGGTGTGCTTTGCGGTGTAGGAATGGCTGAAATGCATGCAAAGTTTACGTGACATTTTAAGGATGTCTTGCAGTGGGATGGTGGATTTTAGGAACCGCTTGACAACCAGATTGAACACGTGAGCCATGCATTCCGTGTCTCCGAGTAACAATTCTGTGTCCCCGAGTAACGATTCTGTGTCCCCGAGTAACGATTCTGTGTCCCCAAGTAACAATTCTGTGTCCCTCAGTAACGATTCTGTGTCCCCGAGTATTGATTCTGTGTCCCTCAGTAACGATTCTGTGTCCCCGAGTAACGATTCTGTGTCCCTCAGTAACGATTCTGTGTCCCTGAGTAACGATTCTGTGTCCCTGAGTAACGATTCTGTGTCCCTGAGTAACGATTCTGTGTCCCTGAGTAACGATTCTGTGTCCCTCAGTAACGATTCTGTGTCCCTGAGTAACGATTCTGTGTCCCTGAGTAACGATTCTGTGTCCCTCAGTAACGATTCTGTGTCCCTGAGTAACGATTCTGTGTCCCTGAGTAACGATTCTGTGTCCCTCAGTAACGATTCTGTGTCCCTGAGTAACGATTCTGTGTCCCTGAGTAACAATTCTGTGTCCCTGAGTAACGATTCTGTGTCCCTCAGTAACGATTCTGTGTCCCTGAGTAACAATTCTGTGTCCCTGAGTAACGATTCTGTGTCCCTGAGTAACGATTCTGTGTCCCTGAGTAACAATTCTGTGTCTGTCCCTGAGTAACGATTCTGTGTCCCTGAGTAACAATTCTGTGTCCCTGAGTAACGATTCTGTGTCCCTGAGTAACGATTCTGTGTCCCTCAGTAACGATTCTGTGTCCCTGAGTAACGATTCTGTGTCCCTGAGTAACGATTCTGTGTCCCTGAGTAACGATTCTGTGTCCCTGAGTAACGATTCTGTGTCCCTCAGTAACAATTCTGTGTCCCTGAGTAACGATTCTGTGTCCCTCAGTAACGATTCTGTGTCCCTGAGTAACGATTCTGTGTCCCTGAGTAACAATTCTGTGTCCCTGAGTAACAATTCTGTGTCCCTGAGTAACGATTCTGTGTCCCTGAGTAACAATTCTGTGTCCCTGAGTAACATTCTGTGTCCCTGAGTAACGATTCTGTGTCCCTGAGTAACGATTCTGTGGCCCTAAAGTCTCTGTGGCCCTAACTCTGTCCCTAATACAGACAGGTCTGTCTCTCTTGAATGACCGGAGGCTAATGGAGAATTCTAAGATGGCCGCAATTTATAGCTCCACCATTACACAGTGCTGGCTGGCTGGCTGCTGATTGGCTAATGCGATCACATGTCATGAATGAATGCATTATGGGTCAGCGCGCCTTGTCTGCGCGCCTTCCCAGAGATCCCCGCTCCGTCGCCACACATGTCGCCGCCATTTTTGGGAAATTCGATTCGTGCATCCGAAGTTTGCTAATTTTCGGATTCGGCGCGAATCGAATTTTTCCTGATCTTCGAAACGAATTCCACTTCGCCATGTTCGATTCGCTCATCTCTAATTAGGGCCCATACTCACCAGCATGCAAAACAAAAGGACAGGAGCACGGGATCCAATTAGCATGCTGTGTAATTTTTTTGATTAAAAAAGAAACAATAGCACATTCCCTTTTAAACAGCTTGTACCTGGCATAGATTGTAGCAGAAACAAAAGTGCACTAAGCTCTGGCTGTGGTGTAAATGACAGGGAGACCTCAGAACTGGCTGGCGGAATACTGCTCACACTGCTAACAAAGAGCAGCGTTCTCAGGTAACAACTACTCTTCCAGCTGGAACACGTGTTGAGTGTTGGGGGTGGCAATGCTCTTCAAGGCAATTTCCGCTTGGTCAAGCCTGCCCCTGGTCATATCTAGGAGTTTAAATACTAAAAGACCCTGTATTGCACCAACTGGTTTGACAGCTAGTATGGGTAGAGGGATAGTTTGGAAGAGATATAGTGGTTTGGGTAGGGTGTCCATTTTGAGGACATTTATTAACCAACCAGGACTTTTAAACCAAGACAGTGGTAAGGTGGTCCATTTTCATAGGTTACATTTAATGGAGTTAAGTGCTTTCATGTACTTCCATGAAAAAAGCTGAGAGAGTTCAGAAAGAGTATACAGCCCAAAATATTCAAGCAATATTTCTTGCCATTTGAAACAAAGAAAAATTTGTATGAACAGGAAACTCTCACAAGCTGTGGATTCAACAGTGTGTGGTATGGAGGTATATAATGAGTCAATTCCAGAACTACTAACCGCCAAATAGTCTGGCTCTTCACTCCTCATCTGTCTCTCTTTATTTGTGGCCTAAC